CAACCTGCCTTCACGCCTCGGTGCTGCACAGATCCTGCCTGACCCACTAATTCTGCCAGTGTGGTTCATCCCAAAGCACAGCAGGTGCAATTGCAGCAGCTCTTGCTGCTAGGCAGCCTCCTCCACCCAATAAGGGGTTTCAAAGAGTTTCAGCTGATTGCAGGGTTTGATCATTTTTCAATTTTTCCTGCAGACACTGCTCACGGCAGTGTCCAGCCAGAGAAAAAAGCTCTCCCTGCTCTAAGATGAATTTGTTTCAATACCAGAGAAAGCTCCCACAGAGCCCAGGACCTCCCATGCAGCATCTGCTGCTCCTGAGAAAGTACATTGTTTTTAGCCACCTTTTCATTAGGAAAAGGCTAGAAGGGACCAAAGTTCCCCCCACCCTACACACCCACATACTGGGGTTGTGAACCTGGCATTGCTGATGCCCTGGGAGCACAGAGCATGAAGCATCGGGCACAGGGAGTAATTTTTTCTGTCCCCTGGTAAAAGGAAAAAGTGACTCAGCCCAGCCCTTGGCTACGACCTCCTCCTTCCTGTAATTCGCAGAGTTCCCTCTTTATTGTCTGAACAGCCACGGCATATTTCCAGCTAATGCAAGAGGAAGATTTCAGCCTTTGAACTTGGTCGTTTCAGTTTTTGTGGGGTTTTTTCTTTATTAAATCTCTTGGGAAATAAATTTACAGAATTGGCTTCTCTCCCTTCTCAGATATGAAAGCATGTCCCCAGCTATTTCCAGGTAGGATGAGGAATTACAGAAGGTTCGACTGGAACAGCATATAAATGAGAAATATGTGGAAACGTAACACTTTTTTCCATCTTATTTTTGTATGTTGAAAACATCTCTTCTGGTGATTTCATTTCCTCAGTTGCTTCTGCAAAGAAACCCAGAACTACTCTGCTCTGGTCCTTGGGAAGGGTTGCAAAGTCATGGAGACAGTTCTCTGACTAACTCGATTCCACCAGCATCTCCTCAACGTGTCATGATGACTCATGTTGCTCATGAACCAATGGAGTTGCTGGCTGAAATCACACATCTTGGGGATTCTCTGAGTGCCTGAAGAGTGAGCTGGTGATCAAATCTCCCACTGCCTTCGGAAATCACTGATCCATTCTAGGATTCTATGTGCACAGGGTGCTGGAAATTAGGGGTCTGAGAAAGGTGCCTGAAGGACTGGCTTGTGTAACGACATCTTGGCTTTTAGCAGTCTTCTGGGATAGCCATTGTTGCTTCTTCCTCATTTTTACTCCTCTTCTTGTAGGCTGAAGGCCTGTTGCAACTAATTTGGAAATTTTCCGTTGCAAAATATGAGGCATTGAGTTCAGAGTGGAACCCTGACAATCTGCATTCGAAAGAGCCAGGACTAGGGAAGTTCTCCCTATGAATTGCAAATCACTCCCTTTCTCTCTGCAGCTGTATCACGTCTCCAACTCATTTTGGTTTCTCCTTGGAAAAAATGTTGGTCTCTAAAAGAATTTGCTCAAAAGAACAAGAACCAGCTGTGGTGGCAGCTCCCAATTCACATCACATCTCCTGGCAGTTGCTTCAAGGTAGTTATCAGGTATCTTGTTAGGAGTGATGGGATGCCTGGTCATCAGCTACTGGTCCTGATAATCCTGGGTCACATCTGCCAGCCAGGGCAGGCCCCAGACACTGCAGGAGCACCATGGTCCTGGGGTTTATGAATTTCTGCTTTCAGTCCCAAGTCAGGAAACAGCCACTTTTTAACAGCAGTAGGCATCTGTTCAGGATAACATGGTGCTGACATCTCTTTGCTGTTTCAAATCAGCTTCTGGCAAGCTTTGCACTTTATCAGCTTTTACCTCTACAGATAATCTTACCTCTTTTTCCTACCTCTTGTTTTGGCACCAATGTCTCACAGCCCAGCCAAGGCCCTGGAGTAGTCTGTCCTTGTGGAGAAGGAGGGGAAAACCCTGTTGAAAAGAGGCTTTTCTCCTCACCAACTTCTTTAAGGCTTTGAGGAATCTCCTCATCTCGTCTGTCCTTGTCTTAAAGGTAAATGCCTTGGGCCAGAGCTGCCCTTGCTGGTGGCCACGCAGTGTTCAGCATGGTGGAGCTGCCTTCAAATGGGGCTTCTCATGCACAAAGTTCTCCCTTAAATAAATGCTAAGTCAGCCGTTCCCTGCCTGTGCCAGGCACAGCTTGATGAAGTCTTGAGCTTCCCATCTCAGTGGTAATTGGGAATGCAGATGCATGGAGAGCATCATTACTCAATCACTGCTTGGAGGTTTTGCATATTTCTATGGAAGCTGCAGATGGGACCGTCTCCCACTGGACACCAATGCTGCTGGCAGCACCTGAGGCCAGCTGGCCCTGTGCCACCAGCCTTACTGCAACGAGCAGTGTGGTGATGCAGAAAGCACTTCTTTGTGGCCAGTCACGGCGTCAGCTTCTGCAAAGCAAGAGGTTTCACTGGTCAGACCAAAGAACGAGAAGATCTCCTCCTCTAGAAGGCTTCACATTGGCATTTTCTTGCTTTCCTTCATTGAAGTCATGCTTCATTTGACACTTTTGACCATAGTACAAATCTGGTTCTGGACACTTGCAACAGCAGAGTTTCCTTCAGCACTAGGTAGAGCGATGGACAACAGCAAGCCTGGGAAACTGAGACCTAGTCAGTTCATCTTCTTCTGGTGCTTTCTGGAGGCTCTGCTCTGTAAATGAAGCTTGCAGCGTGCTTCAGTGCCACACTTGTTGCCAGAGGGTACTGTGCAGGGAAATCCTCTCCCTGAGCATAGGAAACAGCCATATCTCAGACCACAGGGGCCTGTAGCCATGGTCACACAGACAGGCAGGAGGAGCCATTTGCCTCTTGTTTGCCGGCGAGCGTGCAGCAAGCTCACAGCCATGGGCAGCTCAAGAGGGGCCACATCACCTCACCCACCCCATAACTCCATCCCCAGCAGTACCTCACACCCTGGCAATGGGGCTTCCTGCAAAGAGGGGTGCTCCATGTCCTCACGGATGCTCCTGGGTATGCTGCGTGGCACTGTGAGCAAGGTCATGCATCCATGAGAGGGCATGCACAATGCTATGAAATAGCTTTTATTTGTTTTTATTTAGGTTTATTGATATTTCATTTTATTAATTTTGGTGCCTGTAATTGTTGCTGCTTCATTGTAATTACAGTGCAAATACTATAGATAGGATAAGTGCAATAAAAATGGAATTCGCTTAAAAATCAGGAAATACTTCTGGAGAGAGATTTTCAGTTGGTTGGTTGCTCTGGTAGATGCAGATTTGTGGCTATGGATGAGATCATTCACAGAGCACGGTCTTAGCTGAATAGTTTACATTTGCTCCTCGGTATATTAAGGCCATTCATTCTTGCCTGCCAGACAGCTGTAAGCAGGAACTTAGCATAGATTTTATCTATGAAAAATCCACAAAAATACACCACAAAACCAGCGAGAGCTGCTGGAGCCATTGCATTTGCGAGTCCCCTTTCCTACCTGGCCCTCCAGAAAACCCCTCTGGTTCCCATATATCCTCGATGGGTTATTGCAGCATCCAGCTCTGGAACAGCAACAGCAGGGAAGGGTGACTGTGGATACAGCAACCATATACCCTTGATGGGTTATTGCAGCATCCAGCTCTGGAACAGCAACAGCAGGGAAGGGTGACTGTGGATACAGCAAGCTGTTCTGGCTGGCCCAAAATCAATGGCAACATTTCCTCTGGTGGCAACTGAAGCAGGTTTGAGTCACAATGACAAGCAATGACAGCAGGGTCAAGGCTGGCATCAGCAAGGATGTGGCCCAGCATTGGCACCAATGAGTTTGGCACCCACCACCAAATGCTCCCCGACCCCCAGCCCTGTCTCTGCCTCATTGCACGCAAATGTCTGACCCTGAAATTTCAGCTTCATGAATTTCCAAAACTAGAAGCCAGATGCGATGAAATCCTGCCCTACAGAAAGCTGTTGGGGGCAGTAAATGAGGCGCTGTGCTAGCGTAGGAGCAGCATTGCCCAGCAAGGAGGAGTTGGACATGCCTGTGGAGGAGGTGAACGTGCAGGACCTGCCCCGTGGGCTCCAGGCACAGCATCAGGAGCTCCCATGTGGAAGCAACACAGGACAAAGCCTCGGTCCCTGCTTCCTCCTACCCGTGAGACTGGAGGGTGGTGCTGAGTGAAAACGAAGGCGATGAGAGCCGCGATGAGCAGAAGCGAGGGTGGAAGCGTGAAGTGACTTTGAGGGACGAAAATCCCTCAGCAAATAATGAGGCTCGGAAATTAGCCCTACTTAATAAAAATATGTGAATAAATTAACTTTGCTCGCTGGTTAAATCTGTTCAGTATTTCTCTGTTGCACCATTAAGCCAACTCTGCCAAGGCAGCTTACCCCTCGAGCACGTAGTCTGGCTCTGTAATGGGTAACATTTTCTATTTTGTTATGCCTTTGTCTTGCTGAGGAACAACACCTCACAGGAGAGCAAAGCAATTTCCAGCAGCTCCAGTTCCACCAGCCGTCCTGCCCAGGGAAAGCATCGCAGCCCAATTTGGCACCAGGGACGACGTGGCTGACGTGCTTCACAAGCTGTTCCTGCCAAAGTAGGAACCATCAGAGCATCCTCTGCTCCTTGGGGCCTCCCTTTCCATTTTTGTTCTTGTGGTCCTGCTGACACCCCCCGGAGGTGACCAAGCTACTGCAGGGACTAAGTTCCTTCCAGCCACACTGGCAAGTCTCCTCTGCTCGCCTCGTGCAGGCTGCCCCACGTCTCACCTCTGGCACACATCTCTTTAGGTTTAACTCCATACCTGTGGTTTCCCCAGGACTCTCCTTGCTGGTTCCTCAGGCTGGAAACCACTCGGAGCTCTTCTTCCCTCAGTCTCCCACTCAAGTGTCATATTTACCACCGTTACCTGGGGGTAGTTTCTTACATGAAAACCTGGGGCTCTGGGTTAAGTGGTGTAATGGCAAAGAGCCAGCTTTCAACATCCCTTTTCTCCTCAAAAGAGATTCTTCACTCAGGTATGTATCATACATATCTATATTTGATGACATCAACTCAAGCAACAGTACTCTTGTGTTAACACCTTTTCACGTGCATTGGTTCAGTGACATTCAGGTATATCAGCCTTCAGCATACACATATTTTAACATCAGTACAGCTTCACCTCTGAAATAACCATAATGGGTATCAAAGTGACTTCTTCCCTCCTACAATTAAAAAAAAACCCCACAACCTTCTGACTCCAGTGAGATGACACTTCTCAGCATGGGCACAGTGTAACACTTCACAACGTTTGTCACCATCCTTTCCAAGAAAAAAAACCTCAGAACTGCAATGACAAAAGCCAAGTTTTGGGCTACCACCCAACCTTCACTTCCTCGCCAGTGCTTTGCAAGATGTTCACCTTCCAAACCCAAATTCTAAAGAGAAAATTCATATGTGAGGATCACAAGGCTGAGGAGATAGATGGCACGTGGGGCACAATCCACTGGTTCCTAGGGCAGAAGAGGGCAAACAAGGGCAGTAGAATCATCCCCTAGATCCAGGCAGGCAACAGGGGCTCTGCTGCCCATGGCTCCCTGTCACTAAACCCACTAGAAGTGGTGTGATACCCACCAAGGACTTACCCATCTCATCCTTAGTCTTTCTTCTGGAAAATGGAAATGGGAGCGTGTCTCTGCTTCATGAAGGGCTTATGAGGGCTGTGACTCTGCAGAGTGGCAGTACCTCACACTGATTATTATCCTTTCAAGCAGATGTAATTATGCTAATCAAGGCTTGTCTGATGCTCAATTTTATAATCTAGAAGTGCAAAGTTCCCAGGATTAGTCTTTAGTGGTTAAAATTCACTGGGAAATGAAGGAGACTCTCAAGAACATGGGAAGAACAGCACTGGACTGGGGTCACTTTTCCTAATAAATATGATTTTTGAGGCTGAAAAGTCATGTTTCAGCAGCTGCTTCACACACTGCTCAGCTGCCCTGGCTGGGAGCTGGGCAGCACCTGTCTGAAGGATGCAATGGGACACTCAGGGCGGTACTTAGCCCTCTTAGTCCATGTCTGTGATCTCATCTGCTCCAAACCCCCAGCTGACCCTGGAGGGCTCATCTCTAAAGCAAAGCTTGTCCCTTGATGGTCCCCAGAACTTCACCATTTCAGCCTCCTCTCCCTCTGACCAAATCTGCTCTGAAGATCTCCTTTGGAAGGCAAGGAGAGGAATTCGACACTGCTCAGGAGGGTTTCACAAATGGTGCTGGCCATAAAAAAAAATTATTTCTTAAAGACAAATGCAAGTCTCTTGCCAAAACGACAAATCTTTCTAAGGAAAACCTTTTTTTAAATGTGCACTTGGTGGAAAGAAACATGCTGCTGGGATGGTTTGCTGGCTGAAGGGCTCCTCTGTTCTCCTCCCAGCTATTTTAACCCCTGGATCCCAATAATTGTGGCTACTCAATGAGCATGTGGAAATCTATTTGCTTTCCCCAAACAACAACAGAGCATTTCTACAGAAACCTCATGAAAAAGCTCCCTAGTTGCTGTAGAGGCAGAAAAGTGTTTGGATTAATCATCATAACAGCAGGGAATTAAGAAACCTGGGGAGATGAATGCACTGGGGTTTTGTTAGATAGACCCTTTTAAAAAAAATAATCCAGACCTACTTTGTTTCAAGCACCTCAGAAGCTGAGAGAATTCAGTGCATCCGGCTGCAGCTGCCACTTCACTTCTGTAATTTAATCTCATTGAGGTGCATTATGAGAAATAATTACCTTAATGAAGACTCTAATGGGAGAAGGGAGGAAAATAATAGAGATGCTTTGAAGAAACGAAGCTTCGAAGTTGCTTTGTTTTTAACCTAGCACTGATTTAGCTCCCCCTCGTCTGACTCTTGCCCTGACAGAGGTGTCCCATCTGCCTCCCTTTCAAAAGCAACATGTTCAGGTGCTGCCCCAGCGATGTTTTTTTGGCATTTTGGATACAACACCATAGTTTCTCAGTTTGAAACAACCCAAAACATAAACCCAGCTCCTGGTTCATGTAAGTCCAGCTCTCCAGGCCCTGCTACCTCCCTGTTCCCTGCAAAGTCCAGTTTCTGTCTATCACTTTTGAAGTCTTCCAGCATGTTGGCCTAAATTAGAATCAAATAAGCATAAAATCATTTAGGTTGGAAAAGACCTTTAAGATCATCGAGTCCAACCTTAAACCTAACACTGACAAGTTACCACTGAACCATGACCCTAAATGCCACATCTACATGTCTTTTAAATACCTCCAGGGATGGCGACTCCACCACTTCCTTGAGCAGCCTGCTCCAGTGCTGGACAACCCTTTCAGTGAAGAAATTTTTCCTAATATCCAATGCCTTGGCACAACTTGAGGTTGTTTCCGCTTGCTTTGTTACTTGGTAAAAGAGACTGAGACCCAAATTGACCTTTACTGGCTGGTCTCACCCTCTTCTGCGGTACTTCAGCTATTCTATTTGTATCTTATTTTGAAGAGCCCTTGAGACGTGATTTCATAAAGTCCTCATGTGCTGATTTCCACCACCACTCATGCCCAGGATGTGCATCTCATGGTCATATTGGTCTTGAATTCATATCAGCTGGTTGAAATGACTCTTTCTTCGGTGAATAAACTGTCTTCTAAAGGCTAATATTTAGCCAGTCTGCACAGGCTTCTGTGCCTGAAACCTGAAAGAAAAACTCCCTGAAAACTAAATTGATCAGCTCAAATGAGTTTCCTTTCTTACTGCCTGAAGGGATAACTTGAGAAAAAAGGATGTGTATACTTCTTCCAGCATGGATGTGGTGGGGGGGACAAATGAGCTCTTCCCCCACCCTGACTTGCACATATTTCCCAGTTAGCCTTGCCTAATGCTGTGGATATCCTCCCAGTCATATGAGCTATCTCCCACCACTCCTGGAACAGCTGACTCCAGACCTTCTAGGTTTGAAAAAAGAAAAAAAAAAAGGAAGTAAATTTAGCCCATTTTTCTCAAGTTAATGCAAAATATGATATTTCTCTGCCTTTTTCTTTATATTTGGTAAATATTTTTCCTCAGACTCCATGCACTTCTCTAACTCTGGAAAATTAAATACATGATCCCATTGCAGAAGCCTGTGCCCAGCCACTGCCACAGGTCTCAGGCATCCCCTGTGTTTCCAAAAGTACCCTTAGTTTCTCACGCTGTTTTTTCCCTCCTTGTGCTTCCTGGACAGCTTCTTGTAGAGGTAAAGAGCTCGCTTCTCCTCCCAGCTCTCAAAGAAGGAGCCTGCGATTTTTCGGCACAGGCGGCGTGCGTAGGTTCCCAGGAATACGGTGACGTAGAGGATGCAGAAGAGCAGCCCCACGACGAGCAGCACAGAGGGGTTGGGAGGTGTCGGGGGGCTGATACTGCAGTGGGCAGAGCTGAAGGTCAGATAATGGTGGTAGCTTTTTTGAAAGTCCTTGAGTGGTACCTCTTCACGAGGAAGCCGAAGAAGTTTCAAAACAGAGCTCAGGATCCCTATTTTTGCCTGAAATAAAGAGAGTTCAAAGTTAAATGGGGTATGAACAAAACAAAATCAATTGGTTACTACAAAAACATCAGCCTGGGGGGGTGTAAGCACCATTAGAGCTTGTTTGGGTGCATTAAGAGAAGGATGTTGAAATGCATATACACCTCAGGCTGAGCGAGAATAACAGCGTGATGTGTAGGCACCGAGTCCTCGGCACAGTGAGACCCAGCCCCGTCTGTCATCTTCACCTGCTGTTACAGAGATCATAACAGGTATCAGCTGTGTGAGATTTGCAATGAAACACATAATACAGACAGAGGCTGCATATTTATATATTTGAGTTTTTTTCTAAGGCCTGATTATTTTACTGTAAATTCATCATAAGCAGGTTTCTGAACTAAGTAACCCTGGGGCTGGGGAGGGAGGCAGGCTGCATGGTAGAAGAGGAAAGCTAAAAAAATAAACCAGAACTAGTCCAGATAAAGGATATTAAATTAGATAGAAACCAGGGGGACTTGTGAAAAGGATTACACAGGGTGACAACAAAGCCAATGGGCAGGGCTTTCTCATTAAAGAACAGCCAGTGCAGTAAGATGAGGCGAGATCATCACAGCTGAGACGTATATTCATCTGCCCCCCCCCCTTCCTTTTGTGCTGTGATGGGTGGATGGTTCCTCCACCCTGCCTAGGGAAGGGACCTGGAGACACGGGGACATCTGGCTGCCACGTGCTAGCAGCACCTTTGCACCATAAAGCACTATTTGCTCCCCTCCTTACTCCCAAAAAGCTGTAATCTGGAGCAGGCAGATGCTGCTATTTGATGCACTGGAAGGAGCAACTGAGGTTGTGCCTCTATTTCCTCCTTCCCAAGCCTGTTACTTGCCCAGCTGGCTGCTGGGGAGGCAAGTCAGGACCATATAAATAAGGCCACAAAGACTGCAATCCCCACCGCTGCCTCCTACAATGTGACACACAGCAGGGTCCCCGTACAGGGAAGGAGAGGGGACCCCAGCACTTACCTTGTATTTGATGCTGAGAGTGACGGGCACCACAGAGAACTGAGCTGCCTTTTTTTCGGCGGTGTCTGCCACGCTGAACGCAAAGTGGTCCATGGCCACAACCACCAGCATCAGCATCAGGGCCACGGTGAGGAGCATGGCTTGCATGAGACACAGCATCACTTCTTCCCGGGACATCTTCATGCCTGTTGGTCGAATTAGGTTTTTGGGTGGGCCCATCAGCAGATGAGCTGCTTTTCTGTCTGCAGCTAAACGCTCCAGCTTCTCGGTGATGTAAAAATTGTCAAAGCGAAGGTTGGTGAGATAATTTTTCAAATACCAGGCGGACTCAAAACAGAGATAAAGCATGGAGAAGCCAGCAACCAGCTTGTTGCCTATTCGTACAGAGTCTTTGACCAGGACCTCAACAGCCAAAAAGTCCCTCCTAATCTTCTCACCAGCAAGGTGCATTTGCTGGTAAATCAAGGAGCTGTTCTGAAGTGATGAAAACTGAAAATGTCCATTCATAGGCTGATAAATATTAATGGCATTACTGGTTTCTTGGATTGCACCCCCAAACTCCCAGGAAGCTGTCCCTAGCAGAGCAGTTGAGTTCAAAAGACTGTCAGAGGAATTCCTGCAGATGCACATAATAACCTGCAGTATGGTCTTAATGTTGCTTATGATGTTGGGTAGTACGTTAACCACCACAATCATGATGCAGGTCGACAAGAGAAGTTTCCGGCCTTGTTTGGTACCTAGCGTGGGCATGATCATACTGAAGACACAACGGGCAGGATGCACCAAGAAAAGGGTCAGGAGAAGGAGCAGACTGAAGGAGACGGCCATTGCAACAGAGAGGTGCCAGGGGTACTCCAAGGAAGCAAACATCCAGTTGTAAAAGAGGCCTCCTATCACCGCCGTGATGCAGGAACACTGCAGGAACAAGGTCCACAGCTCTCTGCCATTTGCTGGGACAGGCTTGGAGTAAACCAACCATAGGTCTGTCACGGTCCTGCGCACCTTTGGGAACAGAAATTCTTCACAGTAGGCACGGGCTCTCATCCTGCACAAAGAACAAGTATGTGGGTATTAGCAGAGGAAGTACAGAAATGCTAGTTGGGGGGCTTTCTCAAGATGATCACTCATGGGGCTTTCTAAGGTCCTTCTCTGAGCGCCTCCAGTCTCGCTCTTCTCTACCTTTCTGCTAACCTGGATAGCTGGGACTGAGATCTTCCCGGGAAGCATGCAGGACAGGGAAGTTCAAGGCATTTCTTGAAAGATCAAATATCAAGTACAATGCAACTGCTCCACAGGAAAGCATTGTATTATTCTGTAAAAATCATAATAAAGTTATTCAGAGTTATTCACTACTCCTTAGCGGTGGCTAAAAGTGGTTTTAGTGGTTATTTAGAGGATGCTGGAGGGAGAAAGAGGAGGCTCCCAGCTGCTGTGGAAATCATTAGATCAGCTTTCTAATTACAAGGTGTTCAAAGGGTAAGAGGCAGTTAAGTGGGAGTTTCTGGTCTCCCTGCCTCTTCAGAGGAGACCAAACAAAGACCTGCAGGTTTAAGGGTGACAAATACAGAACTGATTAGACAAAACCATTTCACACTGAAGCTCCAGCAGCAGAGGAAATCTCCAAGGATAAGAATTTGGCCACTGCAGACAGGATGAAATGTCCCATGAAGCTATTTAAACGTCTAATGAAAACAAACATTCAGGAAGGAATATCATTTCTCAGGCCTCCCATCTGGAGTGACTCTCCAGAGACCAGAAAACCTGGTGGGGGGAAGGAGCCTCTCCCCAGGACCAAACCCAGCCAGGCGATCCCTGTCTCCCCCTGCCCAACAGCAGCCTCAGTTCTCCTTTGCAGGAGAATCTTGACTAGAAAAGGAGGTTTTTCAGTGGAAAAAGGCCATTCAGCAGCTATCAACACAGAGGGAAGGAGAGGGGTTAAAGCAGACACTACATACCCAGCAGCAGAGAAGTGCCCCAGTATTTCTCAAAAACTCACCTTGCTCCAGTGCCTTATTGCTCTGAGAAAGGATCCTGGGTGCAGCTGCTGGGAGAAGTGGGATAGAAAATCAAGGCAGCTGAGAGCCAGGACTCAAAAAAAAAAAAGCAAGCTGTTTATTCAGAACAGCAATGCTGGCAATTCCTAAAGTGAGTGGGCAAACCTGGCGTGTGAAGCCTGGGGAATAACCCCACTACAGGACAGAGCTGGGATGCATAGCACTGCTTGGGCTTTACACTTCTTCTGGTCTTACTGTTGTGAGAAGGCTTATTTTCATGACACATAGCCACAAAAAAAATGAGTCCCTCCCTGACGAAGAGGGAACAAGCATCACATGGAACGTGGGGTGTCACCATTCTTTGTGGGGAAATCAGCTGTCTCATCCCAGCTGACTTCTCATCCCACTGCCCACCAGCAAGCAGCAAGGTTGAGATCTCTCTGAGAGACAGGGAGCTTTTACTCTTCCAGCCATTGACCGTAGCGCAAAGGGCATGGTAGGATCCAGCAAACCATGTGCTGATAATTGTTCTTCTGTTCTGGGAGGCTGCTGCTCCTTGCTGAAACTGTGAGCTCCTGGGCAGGGTACACAAACTGCTCAAAGGCTCACCTCATAGTCCTGGCAGAGGAAGACGAAGCTTCAAACTTGAACCTTTCCCAGTCCCTCAGAGCCAGAAGTCCACCGCAAAGAAAGCCCTGCCACCAGCAGGATTACCAAAGCACTGAGAAGCTCCCAGACACGCAAGCCCAGACTGATTCTCCTGACCCCTGGGATGTGCAGGGCACCAAACGCACTCACTGGGAGAAAAGGACCAACCCGTGGTGTTTGCTCCTCATTTATGTTTCCAAAGAAGAAGATTCCCCCTCCTCCAATCAGCTGGACCACCGCTGCCTACCCCTTAGCACTGAGCTTGGGGGTTATGGGAGCCTTCCCCGGCCCCCACCAAACCTCACCCTTTGCCAGGTGCTTTCACACTAAGCCACTGCTGGTGGGCAAAGGTGACACAGGTCACCCAGTCCCTGCTGAGCCCACTCCTTACAGGGACCCACTCTCCCAGGCCGAGCCCTCCTGCTGGGTGGGAACCACCTGGCCCCCGGGATGTTCTCATGCTCTCCTGGGCAGGAGAGGGCAAAGGGCTGGAGGTCAGCCCTGTCCCTGCAACCCCCAGGGACGGAGCACATGGGGCTCTGCTCTCCAGCAAGCGGTGGGAGAGCAGCACCTTCCCCAGGGGACGTGGCCAGACCCCACGGCAGCCACAGTCGTGGGAGGACGAGCGATGACGAGCACGAACGAGCAGAGCAAACCTCCACCGGCTTCCTCAGCCCCTCCTGCAGGTACCAGACAAGGTTCTTTCTGCTCCACCCAACAACTCTGCTTTATTGCTGGAGTTTTTCTTTTTCCCACACGGCTGGCAGAGCAAAGTTTTCCTCCTGGTGTCCTGGAGCACAGACACCGAATGAGAAAATCTGACTGGCTCCAGCTGGGAAGAGGCACCAGCCGGGCGGGCGGGAAAGAAAGTGCCATTTGTTTGGAGCATCCATAGCAATTGCTTGCACAGGCCATGAATTAGGTCTCGAATTCAATTTGCAGACTATAAAGGACAACCCCAAAAGGCCCATAGCTATATTCTGCAAAACTCATCAGGTTCTCCTTAGTCACTATTCTGAGATTAAACTTCTTTTTCACTGTATTTCTAAGCTAACTGATTTCATCAGCCCTGGGACCCCATCCAGGTAAGCAGGTAGCTTTCTGAGCCAGAAAAAAAAAACACATTCAACCAATAGAGAACAAAAAAAATCTCAAGTCCACAACACAGCAATGAGTGTTTTCTGATCCTGCTGCATCATCTGGCAAAGGGGAGCTGAAGTCTGTGTGGGAGCTGTGCTTGGCCAGTAACTCCAGGCAGCACAAAGGGTTTGTATGCAAAGTCAAACCTTGATTTTCTCTGGCTCAACTCAAAGTTGAACCCTGCAGGCGGGACTATCCTAAATGTAGGATATCTTCTATTTTAGACCCCAATAATAATTTTATACTCATAACCTTTAAATGAACTAGAACCATCCAGTCCTAACTTTCCCCAGCACAAAATGAAAAAAAGCTTGCTTTGCAAAAAAAAAAATAAAAATCCATTAACAGTGTGTGTGCATTCATACAGCTACGTGAAGAACCGTGGGCGAAGGCTGGGGAGCAGGAGATGGCAGGACCATACATCTCAGCAAAGCAACTGTGACATCTTGCGGCCACATTCTGCTAAAGTACCTCGAGGTCTGTGCTCATTTCAGCTCAGAAACGAAAGAAATCTGTGGGTGGGAGAGTTTTAAGGAAAACTGAGGAAGTGAAGAAGAAACAGAAAGCTGGTGAGCCACTGATGGGGATGTCCCCTCGGGACACTCCAAGGTGCATTTTCCCACCCCGTGTCACTGAGGATCTTGTGACCCAGCTCCAGCGTGGTATAAAGGGGCTTTGCTTTCTTGACAAGCTCCAGTCTTTATAGAACTCAAGCTCTAAAATTTTCTAACATCCCTGATTTAGACTTTTTAGCATTACAGTAGGAGAAGAGAAGAGACCATCAAGCCGTAACTATACGAAGACGACAGAGGGTTTCATTGGTATTGCAGCCAGGAAGCACAGCCTGGCTTAGCACTGATTAGGGATGGTGACTGAGCTTGCACCTACCAGGACAGAGATTTTACATCCATGCCTGCTTTGCAGACTGCTGTGCTCACAGACTGGGTCTCCAGACAGTCCAAACAAGAGTCTCTTGCCAAAACACCTGCAAGTTCAACCTGCAGTGCCAGGGTGGTGGTGGTGATGACAGGGGTGCCACGTAAAGGAGCAGCTGTAGCACAGGTAGAGAGTGGGGTACATGAACTATACGGCTTAAGAAAATGACTGGGTAAAGAAGATGGTCAGAGAGCTAAAAAAAGCACCATTTAACTTCTCCATGGTAGTATCATCAGCACCTGTTGATCACGTTATTTAGCCAGTTCAAGAAATTGAGGCTGTGGGAAAGATTTGCCCATTAGTGGTGATTCTTTGCCTGTTAAAATCACATGCAAATGAAAAATTTATGGTGACACAGAGCCAGGTCATGTCTTCTTATGTTTCCACTATAGAAATATAGAAAAATTCCAGGAGTATCCTTTCAGTGACTGATGAGGGATAAATGTGATGAGGGAGCCAAGGCTATCTAACCTGTAATAGCTGAATTCCCTCGATCAGGCTGGCCTTTTACTTGTTTCAGGAATCTTTCCCTTTCTCTCCTGAACTTCCAGCATCACTGCTGGGTGCAAACCGGTTGAGCACAGCCCCAGAATCACTCACCGCTGCAGAGACCCTACGGCAGCTCTTCTCTGTCAACAGTTTGTAAAGCAACTCGAACGCCTCTGGGATAAAGGATACTACAAAATGCTTTCCTACTGTAAATAAACCAGGATGATTTTCCTCCAAGTGTCTCAGGAGAACATGTGGATGTTGGTTGGGGATTGGATGGGGAACATCAAAGGAGTAAAGCAGAGATATTCTGGATGTTGAATTTCAATGCGTGAGTGGCATTTCCTGTTAATTAAAATTCACAAGCAGGCTGCTAATGTGAATGGCTTTTGTGATGGTTGTTGGATTTTTACATTCCTAGAGAAATGGTGCATAGGCGTGCAAAGTTCCTTTAAAATAACATAGTCGAAGTCACAGAAGGTTAGTACAGCACTTGAAGTTCTCTTTCCTGGGAATTTTCATATCTCCACTCACATCACAGACCCTTCAAGAATAATGGGATTGACTTACCATAAAAAGCTGCTTTTGGCAAATTTTAGTACTACTAGCAGCAAATGGAATTAGAAATTATTCATGCAGGCTAGTTCACTCTTGAACCTCAGAAATACTAAATCTTAAAAAAAAAAAATAAAAAATCAAGCATACCAGACTAGTCCTGCTCTCACAGATGCCTGGATATGAAAAAAGCAGAATTAGGTAACGCTGTCATCCACATGCCTTAAACCAGATCCTCTGGGGAGCCCTGGGAAACACAAAGGCTGCTGATAAAGCTGGCAGAAGCCAGGTCTTTGACTAAAGTAGAGATTTAGGATCCAGGTGCTCCTCACACCTTTCCCAGGTCTGCCAAGGTCCCATTGTGTGACCTTGGGCAAGTCACTGGTCCCCTCTCTGCCTCAATGTCCCATGTCCGACACAGAGATAATAGACCTTCCCTGGCTGCATTCATGGAATACCTTCTTATCTCTCAGAGACAGTGCCACAGGTGGGCCAGGATGATGGGAGTGATTTTTTGGAGACTTCTACACAAACTGTGTGGTCTCAGTTGTGCTTTCATGCCCAAGTAATACCACTCTCCTGGCTTCAACTGGGATGCACCAAGCCAGAGCTGAGCCTGTAAGTAGTACCCTCACATCTGCAACGGAGCCGAACTGGATGTTACCTTTTGAGCCCTGAAATTGGATGATCCAAGCCTGCCCGAGGCCCTCGCTGCCTGTCCTCCAGGCTGCAGGGACAGAGGCAGCTCTGTTCCAGTGACGGGCTCCGATCCCCCGCAGCAGCAGCTCTAGTCACAGCAGGGCAGGGGGACAGCAGGGCTCCTTCCTGCAGCTCCCGGCCACGCAGGGTACAGCCCGTTCCCTGGCCCCGGGACAGCCATGCCGTGCTCTTCACAGGACAGCCGGCTGGGAAAGGCAGCTGCAGGGAGCAATTTTCCCTTCCCCGTTCAGCCCATCTTCATTGAGGCATGACGAGGAGCATCCATGCAGGGCAACAGTGCCCAAACCCAGCTGCCCTGAGGACACGAGATAGTGGTCCGGGGTATCCCCAGCAAAGGCAGCTGCTGGGGCTGCATCTTTACCACAGCAGCCCGAGACACAGGGCTAGGAGCATTCCCACTCTCGTGGGAGTCCCACTCCCCCTCTACTTAACAGGGCTCCGTTTTGGCTCAGACCCAGAAGGAGACTTCCTGGGGAACCACTGCCCAAATCAGGGGGCAAAGCTATGGGAGGGGAAGTCTTGGGCTTTGCTTTTCTCCTCTCAATGTACAGAGCAAACAGGACGATGTGACATGCTAGCAAATGTGCTTTATTGTACGTTTTCCACAATCATTAAGGGTTT